GTCTCTGTCGGGCTTTTTAGGGCTTTATCGGGAATCGATCTAACTTATATATTGGGGCATGTCAGATTTTAAATACAAATTTGGAGTCGCCAATCGACTTTTAGGTTAGGTAAGTTGAATACCCAAAAATATCTTTTAAAAATAATTTTAAAAAAATAATTTTAAAAGATAAAAAATTGATATGCGTTTGACCAGAGATTCACTTTAAAAAGGGTTCGGGAGTCGATTACGTGTGGGGAACGATTAACACTCCCACAACGCCTAAAATTGGTACTAATGATTATATGTCATCTTTAATTATTTAAAATTATCAAATTCAAATAATATTTAAATTATGATAAAAATGAAAATGAGATATTATTTTATACGAATAATCTTCAAAAATATCTTCTAGAAAATTAAGGAGATATTTTATAAATTAATCGAATAAAATAAGATTTAAAAAAAATTACAAATGGCAAGAAATTAACAAATATATAAATAATAAATTAAAATAGTAAATATGTTAAATTTAGTGATTAAATTATAAAACTACAAAATATCAAGGTTACCTATGTAATAAATCATATTTTTGGCACTAAAAATGTAAATAAACAAATAATAATATTAAAAATTAAAAATATAAAAGTTCAGGGATTAAATTACAAAATATCAAAATTAATGGCCATAATTCGAAACATCACAAAAGTTAGGTACTAGAAGTGTAAATTAACCTTAATAATTTATTCGGGATTAAAAATAAAATATCAAAATAATATAGACTAAATATGATATTTTACCTAAAATATAAATATACAGGCAATGACTAAAATATAACAAAGTAAAATATGGAAACCAAATTGATATGCACAGAAACATGATTTTAGTGACTAAAATGTGAAATTACAAAGTCATAAGGACTGCGGATGATGCTTTTCCATGCTTGAATTACACATATACCCCTCTCCAAAACGACGCCATTTGGGAAGGGGTATAAATAGGAAAACAATTGGCCTTTAGGCTTAAAGCTTCTCATTTCTCTCTTTTGCTTCTCTCTCTAAGAGAGATAAGCTCTCCCTTCTCTCTAGATTTCCCTCACCGAAGGGAAATCGACCACCGTACGTGAACGGTGGTTGAAATTAGGAAATTTACACCAAATCAAAACCCTATTTCCCCTAAAGTCGAATCCGATGTCCTTTCCTTCTAAAATCCCCTAGACCGACGTAGATTTGAGTTCTTTTACCTTAGATTTTTCGGCCTTCCGGCGACGTTTGAAGACCTCTGACAACGATAAGATTCTCTCAGTCTCTTATCTCTATTTTTCTAGATTTTGTTGGTTGGTTATTGTCTGTTTCTTCCTTACTGGCTGCCCTCCTTTTTTTTGCAGGTTCGATCGAGTCCTTTTATAGGGCTCGAGATGCGCCCTTTGGACCGGTTAATAGAGGGAACCCCGGTGAGTCACCAGAACTATGGTGGTGACTCACCCTAGGGCTGATGATGTGTGTGGTTATCTTGTTGGGTGCATTAAATGCACCTAGATCTTCTGGATCTAGCGATAAGGTGGCAACTACGTGGCGACTGTTGACTGGAGCACTTTGAGGCGGCGACGACGATATCATCATCAACCTAAGGCGACGACTGGAATAGCCCTAAGGTTGTAATGAAACCCTAGGGTTTTTGCTGGATGAATCTGGGCGTTGGATCTCTCCAGATCCAACGGTTGTGATGGTGGCTGGAGATGCATGAGAAACTTAGCAAAAACCCTAAATGGGTTTAGGGATTATTGGGTTTTGTTCTTGGGGCCTGGATCGATTCTGGGCCTGAATCGGGTTGAGCTTATAAAATGGGGCTCCGAGTTTGCTTATTTGGGCCTCCGGGTTTTGGGCCTTAATTTGCATTTATTTGTAATAATAATAATAATAATATTATTATTATTATTATTATTATTATAAATACATAAAATGGGACGAAAATGACTATCGACATAATTGAAATGTTAGTATTTATTTATTATCAATATGTGATTTAAGAGTTAAATAGTATTCCTCAATAAGTATAATATCTGAAATCATATATAAACACTTAAAGAAAAATTGATATAACCAACAATCAGTTGGTCTAGTGAGATGAGACACTAGGTCTCTTAAGCAATGTCAGAGGTTCAAATCATGACGTTTGCGAATGGAGCAAACTGGATTGGGAGTATCGCCATTGCCTCTGTAGTACCCGATTTGGATTAGTCGGTCAATAGATCGGATACCAGTGATTAATTCAAAAAAGAAAAAAGAAAAATTGATATAAATCGATATCCAAATAATGTAAGATATTCATCGTTCAATACTTTAGAAACAAAAGAAAGCAGATATGGTTGAGTTGAGGGTTATTAGATTGTGTCAACACTTCAAACCAACACTTGTTTTATTTCCAAATTCCCATGTTTCTCCACCAAATTATAATCTCTATCGAACTCTACAAATATAATATGTTTGCATATCCAGGGAACAAACCAGGGCCAGCAGATTATATTTTCTCAGTACGATCAGGAAAAAGTTGGGATTTCATAGCCGTGCATGCTAAGGCAGAGATTTTGTCTTTTCTAAGGTAAATTTTATCGTTTAACTCTGTTATATGATTATTTTAAAAAAGATTGTTACTTCAAATTTAATAAATTATTGTTTAAGTTGATTAATAAGCGTTTTTAAAGTGACTGGAGTATTTTAAGATATCATATAATAAAGTATTAATTTTTAAATATTGTCCAATAACATATAAAAACATTTGTTATTTTCTAAGTTGATTTTGATGGTAAAAGAGGATGTAATTGATATTATCAACTAGTTAAGAAAATTATAAATATTATACTATAATCATCGTATACTATGAGAAGAATATGGAGTATTTTACCAATTAAATTGGTATATATTAACGTGTGACGCAAAATTTAGTTGAAAAATTAATGTTGATAGAGATCGGCGTAAGAAAGTTGTTCGGTTGATTCTCTCTATAAGATTTTTTTTCAAAAAGGAAAATGAAAGAAAGGTGGATGAACGCAATGGAATAATGCAAGGAAATGTTTCATTGCTAGTGGATTTAGTTTCCAATTCGTTATACAATCAGCATGCTTGCATGTATAAAGGGTTGTTTGGTTCAAGAAATGTGAGATTTTCATGGGAATGTAATTCACATTTTTATGGGAATGTAATTCACATTCCCATTTTGGTTGACCGATCATTTCCGGTAATATTTTATTATTAATAGTAGATTTTTGGGGTATATTACTGAGAATGTCATTATCTCCCTTTACTTAAGTATTGTTGGATAACCGGCGTTTTGGAAGAAAATGCCCTTAAAATTTTTTTCCAAAAATATCATTATTCTATCATTGAATAATAAAAATTCTACGAAGGTTAAGTTATAAATTTATCCTTAACCTATTTTAGATTTATAAAAAAATTTATAATTAAAATTTTATATAAAGTTTAAGGGTTAAAATAAAATTTTACCTTTCATTAAACCTTTTTATATTTTAATTTTATAAAAAATATATATAAATTTTATAAATTTAAATTTTTTAAAATATATATATAAATATTTTTTAACTTGTTAAAAAAATAAATATATAATAAGGACAATTTAGTCAAATATACAATCTAATAATATTTTATTCCTTTAACCAAATACGATAATTTTACATTCCTACTAAACCAACTAAATACAAAATACAATATTTCTAATAATCTTATTCTCTAATAATCTTACATTCTCACTAATAATCTTAATTTTCGTGAATCAAAATCACCCTAATAATATTAAATAAAAAGAAGGAAAAGAACAGGTGAAAGAGCCGACCTACCCATCACATCAAAGCACCATCACCGATGGACGTGATTACAAAATAAGGATTGGCCTACGCCCACCCATTCTCTATAATAACATATCCGATAAAATAAAATTATCTTTTATAATTGAGTCTGTTAAAGGAATTCTTATATCTAATGAATCTTAACGTATAGCAAGACGTGGATTTAACCATTCTTAAATATATATTATTCTTTTATCATCAATCTTTAAAATATGTGATTAAAAATTAAGTATATATTATTCTTATATATATATATATATATATATATATTAGTTGAGATGGAGTTACTATATGTATCAAATGCAAAAAACTTTCCTAGATGAAAAATATATCGTTATTGTTGGATTAATATGAAAGCTGCAAGTCTAAATATTTAAATAATAGTTTAGAGTGTAACGTAAAGAACAAAAATGTATATTAAAGAAAGATCCCCCACCATTTTTCTTCGCTTCCATTGCCACCACCATTCCACATGCATTGCCTGCAACTATTTCTCATTATCCTTGTCTCTCAAGAGAAAGTAGCTCACCCTGCGTTTTGAAGGAAACTAACAAACCAACTGTCCTGACCTAATGAGTTGTAATATATGTAAAGTACGGGTGTAAACAAGATAAGTCGAACTCGAGTATTGTTGAGCTCGATTATACTCTAAAATTCACGAGTTTAAAATTTTCAAGTTCGACTCGAACTTGAAATCCTAAACTGTAGCTCGTGAACAACTTGAAAAGGCTCGAAATGAAAAAAAATTAAACTTAACTCGATTGAAACTTCAAACTCAAACTTGAACATGAACCTTAAATACATGAAAATCTTACTATATTTTTTTAAAAATAATCAACATATAAATGTTAATATTATTAATAATTTAGTTTTTAAAAAATAAAATCTTAATATATTATATTTTTGAGTTACTCACGAGTTTTTCAAGTCAAGTATCAAGTAGCTCATTTCGACTTGTTAAGGATTCGAGTCGAGTCCATTCAATCTGAATATTATCGAGTTTTGACCGAGTCGATTTCGAATAGCTCGCGATATTACTCGTGTCATTTACAACCCTAATGTAATGGTCGTATGAACCAAATAGAGATATGTTGGGAACGAATGGTGGGATTTTGCCCATGTATTTGTAAAGGAAATTTACATAGCTTATTTGTCATTGCCAACTAGAAAAGTTTGTCAGTTGCTTATTCCTGAAACTTATTGCTCATATATGTTCACGTGATCATCTTCTTCTTTTTTTTAGTGTGTTTCTTTGTTTTCTTCTATTATTTCTACTATTATATATGATTCCCGCTTCCCTGCAAATGATTTAATAAATCAACTCAACATGGATTCCACTAAAATTTCATTTCTTCTTCTTATTTGCATGCTTTCATTTCCTCTGCCACTCCAATTCTTGCTCGTGCTTCCTGTCGCCATGGACATCGCAAGCGTAAACACCCCATTGTTATACCCCCGGTCCATTTGCCACCGGTCACTCTTCCTCCTGTTGTAAAACCACCAATCACACTTCCTCCGGTCGTCAAGCCACCAATCACTCTTCCTCCTGCAGTGAAGCCACCAATCACACTTCCTCCAGTTGTAAGACCACCAATCACACTTCCTCCAGTGAAGCCACCAGTTGAACTCCCTCCAAATGTTAAACCACCAATCACACTTCCTCCAGTTGTAAAACCACCAATCACACTTCCTCCAGTGAAGCCACCAGTTGAACTCCCTCCAACTGTTAAACCACCAATCACGCTTCCTCCAGTAACAATTCCTCCGGTGAAGCCACCAGTTGAACTCCCTCCAGTTGTTAAACCGCCAATTACGCTTCCCCAGTTGGACTACCTCCAGCTCTAAAACCACCAATTACACTTCCTCCGGTGACTGTTCCTCCAGTTGTAAAGTCACCAATTACACTCCCTCCGGTAGAACTCCCTCCAGCTCTAAAACCACCTGTTACACTTCCTCCAGTGACTGTTCCTCCGGTGACGGTTCCCCCTGTACTGAAGCCACCAATTGAACTCCCTCCAGTAAAGCTACCAATTAACCTCCCTCCGGTGACACTTCCTCCGGTGATAGTGCCACCAATCACTAACCCACCAAATGGAAAACCCTGCCCACCTACACCGTTAAGCAAGGCCACATGTCCAATAGACACACTGAAACTGGGTGCATGTGTGGACCTGCTAGGAGGGGCAATGGACATTGGGGCTGGTGACCCAGCTGCGAATGCATGTTGCCCGCTCCTACATGGATTAGTTGAAATAGAAGCAGCTGCCTGCTTGTGCACCACTCTCAAGTTCAAACTCCTTAATCTCAATATTTATGTCCCAATTGCCCTTCAGTTCCTCGTCACATGTGGGAAAACTCCCCCTCCCGGTTACACTTGCTCTCTCTAGATCCAAGTTAAGCACTTTGCTCTCTCCACACACGCACGCACGCACCAACGCACGCACCCACGCACCCACGCACGCGCACACACACGCACACACACGCACGCGCACACAAACACACACACGCACGCGCGCACACACACGCACACGCACACGCACACGCACACGCACACGCACACGCACACGCACACGCACACGCACACGCACACGCACACGCACACACGCATGTGCACACACACACACACGCACGCTCGCGCGCACACACACACACACGCACTCGCACACGCACACGCACACGCGCACGCACACGCGCACGCGCGCACACACACACACACGCACACACAAACACACACACACGCACGCACGCACGCACGCACGCACGCACGCACACATTTTTTATTGTTTGATATTTTCACTAGAATCCAAATAGCTTAAACACACGAGTACACGTTTAATATTTTTATTTCAAAATTAATTTTAAAAATGATTACATTCTAACCAAACCTATAATGAAATAGTAAAACACATCAATTCAATTTTGTTTAATACTTATAGAGATATTTTGAGCAACTTTTAGTTCTCATCTGATTTCATGGCGCACGGATTTTGCAGGTTGGAAGATTCATGGATTCCTTTACCCTTTCACTTATAACTCGAATTGGAAATCTCTGCAGCCCAAGCTCTTATTTGTGATGCCAATTCCTTTTAGTTATTTTTAAAAATTATTGCAAGTGTGTTTATTTCTTAATCATTTTTATTTAGCATCAGTATTAGTCAAATTATGATTTTTTTTCTTGTAATTTTATTATAAATTTTAATAATTTGTTAATCGAATTCTATCAAAATATGTCACTCTTTTTTTCCTATTAAATTTGTCCATGGTTGATTTTTTTTTATTAAATTTTTGTAACTTTGACTCTTTTTTTTTTGCTCAGCAACAAGAAAAATTTTATTTCAGTTTCAAAGTATAACAAATCCCCAACTTAGAGCCTCGTTAAAACTCCCCTTAATCCTATATAGGGGAAAAGAGTACTCCAAAGTTGAGGAAACATGACAAATTACAAATACGACTAACATAGATATGAAAGTGAAGCACACCTTGAGCGAAATAACTTCACTGTCTTAACAAAACAAGGTACAGACTCCACAGAGAACCATTCCAAAACCTAATTAAAGAGAACAACCCCAAATACCACCTTGCCAATCAAAAACATTCAATCGAGAATAAGAAAACTGAAAAATTAATTGACTTGCTAACATATCACCAGCTTGCCTTGAACATAATTTTCCTGGTCGACCCCATATTTTCCAAGAAATCAACCATGTTATTGGTAGTCCTACGCGAGAACACAAACCTGATCTCAATTATCTTCAGAAAATTAATGTCAATTTCTTGAAACGTAGCTCCCCACCTCCATGGTCGAACAGATGAATTTTGAACCCAATTCAGGACTATTTTAGAATCAGATTCTACAATCAGGACAAACTTTCCACACCAGCAAGATTCAGTAAAAACCTCTAGTGCAGTTTTAATTGCTACCAGCTCCGCATAATCAGAGTTAACCTCTGTTACCGGTCTAAAGAACATTGCTACTACGTGACCATTTACAGTCCTCAAAACTCCCCCACAACCTGCTGACTCTTTTGTAGCTGAGCCATCCACGTTGAACTTCATCTGGCCCGATGCAGGCGGCTGCCAAACGAACTTGGGACATAAATATGCAGCAGCCGACTTATCTGGCCAGTCCCACCATTGTTTCTCGTCTAAAGCACTAAATTCCTTCAACGCCTTACACAAAGCATACACTCTCATCTTCACATAAACAAGCAGATCTTTGAGTCTAGTACTTTTATTTCGAAAAACAAAATCATTCCTAGCCAGCCATAGACTCCATAGTGCAGCTGCGAAACTAACAAACCAAGCCAATGCTATAGATCCTGGCCATCTAATCTTATAGCAAAAATAAAAAATTTCGTCCACTGTCTGCATATTTGTCCCTGAAATATTCCACCACTTACATAAAGCATTCCAAAAACATTGCATAAAAATACATAACACAAACAAATGGTTCGCATCCTCCTCAGCGTCACCACTCCAAGGGCATAAAATTTGATCATCAGACAGCTTAACCCCTCTGATTTTAAGAAATACCTTAGTTGGCACTCTATTCAATTTAATCATCTATAAAAAATATTTCACCTTTGGGGGCACTTTTAGACTCCAAATTTTGTCGAAATTAAACGAGCCTACGTCCTCAAAATTCCCATCACTAAGCAATAAGTTAGTCAATTTTTTTACTTTGAACAGCCCATTGATTTCATGCACCCATACAATCCTATCGGCCACAGACGGATTTAATATCACCTTGTCCACTTCTCGTTTTATGATTTGCACAGTGAATAGCTCCCTATCCAACAGATGTCTCTCGAACAAAGCTGTCGTGACTAAGCTCTGCCAATCGCCTGTATTAATCATTTCACACACCGTAATATATTTCCTTGACACTAACATATATAATCGCGGATATCTTGATCTTAAAACAATTTCTCCGTACCACACATCCTCCCAAAACAATGCTGATTTTCCGTCTCCCACTATCCATCGAAAAGAATTTCCACTCATCCATTCAGCTGATCCTTCACTATATAAATTATTCACGATCCCTCTCCAGGTTATAGAATCATTTTTTTATTTCTCTTTGACTAACCATCCAAGGCAGATCGCATGAGCTGTATTTGTGATATATTACTGATCTCCATAATGCCCCTTTTTCAGTAGTGAATCTCCACCCCCATTTAGCTAATAACGCCTTATTTTTTACCTTTAAGTCAATTATTCCAACCCCATCTTTCTTTTTCGGAGTACACAATCTACCCCAGTTCACTCTTGGTAATCTCTTCGTGTTACCATCATAACCCCACAAAAAACCTCTTCTAATTTTTTCTAATTTTGACGCTACTGCTTTCGGAACGGGGAATATCGACATATAATACAACGGCAGCATTAACAACATTGAATTGATAAGAACCACTCTCCCAGCAAACAATAGTAACCTGTTTTTCCAGCCCACCAGTTTGACTTTAAATTTTTCAATAACAGGTTCCCACATCGAAATTCTTCTCGGATCAGCTCCTAATGGAATTCCCAAGTATTTAAATGGCAAGGAGCTCACAGTACATCCACATAAAAGTGCAAGCTGAATCAATTTATTTTCTTCAATGTTCACCCCTGCTAAGTACGACTTTCTGAAATTGATACTTAACCCCGAGCCCAATTCGAAGCATTTCAAAATTCTTTTAACATTGGAAAGTCCTCTTTGATCTGGACAAAGGAACAATATCGTGTCATCCGCGAATTTCAAGTGTGAAATGCTTATATTTGGTGCGATATTATCAATTCCTTCAATGAATCCTTTGCGAACAGCTCCTTCTAACAATAGATGAAGAGCCTCTGTTATCATTATAAATAAAAACGGGGACAATGGATCTCTCTGCCTTAAGCCTCTGTACATTTTAAATTCTTTTGTGGGGGATCCATTTAATAAAATCGAGACTCTAGCAGTCGAAATGCATTCCCAAATCCACAGTCTCCATTTACTTCCAAAACCCATATAATGCTGCACAGAATCCAAAAACTCCCAATAGACACAATCATATGCCCTAGCAAAATCTAATTTCAATATCAAACCACCTCTCCCTCCCCTCTCTATTTTCAATGAATGAATTACTTCATTTTCCACTAAGATGCCATCAAAAATCTATCGACCAGCTATAAATGCACATTGAGTCTCACTTATCACCGATCCAATCACTCGTCTTAATCTCCTTGCTAACACTTTAGCAATTATTTTATACAGGCTGCTCACCAACGAGATTGGCCTATACTCAGAAATTTCATTTGGATTTTCCACTTTCAGAATCAGTGCTAAAAAAGAAGAATTAACACTTTTCCCCAATTTTCCACTCCAATAAAAATTGTCCATTCTCTTCATCAAATCGCCTTTTATCCATTCCCATGACTTCTTGAAAAATTCTATATTAAAGCCATCCGGTCCCGGAGCTTTGACCTCCCCACAGCTCCACACTGCATCTTTAACTTCATCAATCGAAAAAGGCACTTCCAATTCCTCAACATCATCCCTTGAGAGTTGTTTGAACGGAATATTGATATCCGTTTTCCACTCCTTCTTCTTCCGTCTAAAGTGATTACTGAAAAAATTAAAAACTTTAGCTCTAGGTTTTTCGGGCTCCAAGTCATTGTCCTCCCCCAAATTAGCTCCCAAAATCAGACGTTTTTTGCTCCGAATCTTTACTGCTATATGGAAAAAAGCAGAATTCTCATCACCCAATTTCAGCCAGTTTAATCTAGATTTCTGGTGTCAAATATCCTCTTTCTCCCTCAAAAGGTCCCACAGCCTTCTTGTACAACTCAATACCTCCTCCCTCTCGCAATCGTCTAAGCCATTAATATCTCCTTTCCTATCTACCTCATTGATCTTCTTCTCCATTTTCTTTGCTTCACTATCAATATTCCAGTAACATTGAGTATTCCACTTCTGAAGTGCTCCTTTCACTCTTCTTAACTTCACACTAAAATCTTCATCACAAGCTTCTTCATGCTGTAACGTTTTCTTGATAATCTCCGTACAGCTCTCCTGTTGTAACCAACTATTAATCAATTTAAACGGTCTAGGCTCCCAATTAATCATCTCCTTCCCCAATAAAATAGGGATATGATCCGAGATTGTTCTTGGTAATCCCAGTAGAGATACGTTACTATTTTTATGGAACCATTCATCTTCAACAAAGATTCTGTCTAGATGACTTTTTCTATTTGCCGGCCCAAACCAGGTAAATTTCCTCCCAATTAAAGGCACATCAAAAAGGTTACAATCTTCTATGAACATATTGAATGCTGCAATCTCTGATTGTCTATAGGAGCAACCACTTCTCTCACTATTATTTCGAATTGCATTAAAATCTCCAACCATGAACCATCTATTATTGTTTTTCCTCCTAACTTCCACAATTGTATTCCATAAAGTAACTTGATCAGAAACTTCACAATATGCATAAACATTCAGAATAGAGCATATCAAATCCTCTGAGGCATACTTCCCTTCTATCAAAATAAATCGGTCTGTAATTAAGCTATCAAGAATATGAAATCTATTCTTATCCCACACAGTCAATAAACCCCCAAACTTACCCATTGCTTTCAAAAATTTAAAATCAAAGTCATCATCACACCAAAATCTACTTATTTCTGCATCCTTAAAATCCTCCTTCTTAGTCTCTTGTAATAACGCAAATTCAATTATATGGGTCCGAATAAACCTCCTAAGTTCTAAAATTTTCACATTAAAGCCCATACCTCTTGTATTCCAAGACAATATCCGCATCTGAACTTCTCCCCCTTGTATTCCAGCTAGAATTCGATGGATTGGGTTTCTCCTTCAAAGTCATCCGCAGCTGAAATTTCCCTAACCAAAGCCTCCTCTGACCCTTTAAATTGAATACCCAGCTCTCTGCCAATCTGAAGAGTTTTTTTCACTTTCTTCTTTTGTCTCTGTCATCGTTCTTGAAGATCCGAATCAGACAAAGACCTGCCTTCGATTTCAGTCAACTCTTCCTCGCTTAGCATCTTCCTCTGATTTTTCTTAACACGACAACTTCAACTTTTTCTCTGGATATCACCGTATTTTTCTTGTATTCTTTGAAGAGAACTATATTTCTTATTTCTCCCCGCCTTAGTTCCTTCGTTCTGCCTGGGTTTGAGCATAAAACTATCCTCACTTAAAATAGATAACTTACACACCCCCTGATCCCGTGGTCCCCCTTCTGCCCTCAACTTGGGCTTGCTACCCTCCAGCTCTACCACAATCACGTCCAATTGGTCTTCTAGTCCTTTGTAAGTTTTATTTGGTAAAAAGTTTGTAAGGCCCATAAAAATCGTGGCCCTCCACTGCTTTTGACCCTAAACCCCTTTCCCATAAAGACAAGTCCTTTAAATTTTCGTTTATTCCCTC